GAGAGCTTGGGGTTTCAGATCGGGATTTCAAACTGTCCAACCAAAGAGTCAATTTAATGGATGGGGCCCATCCGCTTCCTATATACACAGCAGTCCGCCATGAGATCCCTGTTCTCGAGGATGAAAATACCAAGGGTCAAAAGAAGCCCACACCCGAACAGCTGATGAGGAAATCACGAAACGAAGCATGGTTCCAGTGGTTCGAGTTTACTCCTTATGAATTTTTCTGTGAAGAACTCAATGCCGGCATTCCTACCTGGGCACTCGGTCGCCACTTCTACGCAGGTCGCTCTGAGGTTACTTCTGAATATCTCCCTATTCCAGAGTTGAGAATTCCCGGGCTGATGGGGGTCTGGGGCAGCGCTTTCTGTGCGACTTTGTCCCATTATTACAAAGAGATCCGACCACTGGTCAAGGGTCTTGCTGGCTTTGGTGGTGTCGATTCCCTCATCCAGGGCAAGAACCAAGATCTGATCAGAGTGCACCCCATTGATCCTGCGGGCATACCAAATTATGTGATGGGCATGAAAGATCAACTCCCCGATTCCTGTCCAGAGTCTATCTTCCGAAACCACCACTTGCGTCTTATGGACGCAGGCATGAGCAACAACCTCCCGATCTACCCGCTTATTCGACCCGGACGTGATGTCGATGTCATTATTGCATTTGATGCATCTGCAGACATCAAACAAGAGAATTGGCTTTCTGTCGTGGATGGATACGCCAGACAGCGTGGTATCAAAGGCTGGCCAGTCGGCGCCGGCTGGCCCAAAGCGAACTCAAGCATCGAGGATGCTGAAAACGCCCTGCGCGAACCCCAAAATATCACCGACGTCCAAGCAACCAAAAAACTGAACAAAGCCAAAAGTAATGACCCGAGCAAGTCACTCTCTGGCCAAAATTCCAGCGCCAGTACGGACCTAGGGTACTGCAACGTCTGGGTCGGTACCACAGAAGAGCGCACCTCAAACGAGGAACCTCCACCATCGAAACGACTCTTCGATCCGCCCCATAGCGAAGACCACTCAGAATCGGACTTTCACCTCATGCGCCCAGACGCCGGTATCGCTGTGGTCTACTTCCCTTTTCTTCCAAACCCGGACGCACCAGACGTCCCAACCAAGCCTCAAACTCGTCCCCGTGCAGCAGCCCACTCTATGAGACAGGATGCCTCCCAGACCAAAGACCCTGAAAAGCCGCTAGCTCCTCACCCCAATTCGATTGATCCCGAGGTTGATGATTTCTTGTCTACGTGGAACTTCGTCTACACGCCTGAGCAGATTGATGCCGTTGTTGGTCTTGCCAGGGCCAACTTCTCTCAAGGTGAGGAGCAGACCCGTCGTGTTGTCCGTGCTGTTTACGAGCGGAAGAAGTCCGATCGTTTGAATAAGGAGGCGCAAGAGCATCGGAAGAAGATGGAGGGCTTTGTTCCTCTGTAATTGTGATGTTTGACGGTCGATCGACACATCGATCCAATGCTGTCTGTCGCTGCAAGGTAGCACGAGATGACGCATTTCCCATCTCTCCATTTTACGGACCCAACTAAATAGAATTAGCTACATCTAGATCTCATGTTTCAGCGTCTCATGTATTTCCATTTGTGTACAGTACAGAGTAAGACGAACTGTGATCATAGCATAATCAATGCAATATTTCAATTCCAATACACAGTCATGATCATAATGGTATATCGTATATCCAAAAATGCAATGCAAATGCACATATACAATGCTGGCAGTTACTATACTATTTATCCTTATCCTCCCCATTCTTCCCAAGATTCGTCTTCACCCCTTCCAACCCTACATCGTCCTCAGTACTCTTCTTCGCCTTCACCTTTCTCCCTTCTTCATCTGTAGTAAATCCCATCTCATCCTCACTCCCAGCAAGACTCACATCTTTACTCTCATCCCCCTGTTTTCTCAACCCAAGTTCCTTCTCAAGCGCATGCGCCATTCCCTTCGCCTTCGCCGACACACCAGCCGAATAACTGTTTACCGATGAACTCTCCGACGAATCCTTTTTCTCATCTTTATCCGCATGCCCACGCCAATCAGCAGGCTCACTCTCGGGAATTGGATCCCCAGGCTTGGGCTCGCTGATCGGCCTCCCTTCCACCGAAGCAGTCGTATCGACGCTCTTCCCTTTGCCCTCGCCGGTGGCACTGACACTGAGGCCCACTGATTCGGGTGGGGGATACCGCCATACAACCTTGAGCTTGTCAAGTGCGCGAATCCCCTTTCTCGCGCTGCCCTTGATCCCATCCATGGCGCCCCATTCTGTCTCGAAGACGCCTGAGTCGTGGTCTGCGCCGCCTTCGAAGTACGCGTTGAACCAGACATGTGCGATGGATGTTACCATTGCGAAGCCTGTGTAGGAGGCTTTGCTGCGTCGTTCGAAGTCGATATTCACATCTGAGTTTGGGACTATGACTGGTTTGTTGGGTCGGAAGATTACGGCGGGCAGGCGTTGCCCTGGTGCTCCTGCGCCTGTGCTTGTTCCCGAGACGTCGGATTGTGACCCCGAGGCTGTAGGCGACCAAGTAGCAGCCGACGGAAGTGGTTTCCCAGTTGGTAAATCCAACTTCTTGTCACTGCCACCCTCCGACTCAGGTTCAGGCGCAGAATCACAGTCTTCAACAACAGTGCGCTCACTCCGATGGAACAAATGCACACACTTGATCTTCTTCCCTTCATTCTCATACCCCTCCACAGCAACCTTCACCCCGTCCCTCAACCCCCAGATATGAACCTCAAGGATCTCAACAGGCCGCTCAACATACTGTTTCCCCATCTGGTTCGTCCACCGATCCACATAGCCAACATAACGCAATTGACTCGGGATGCTAACACCATGCCCGAATCCCACGCGCATCCGCCGCTCCGTAAATCGCAGCAGGGCATCCTCCTTCTTCCACCCTTCCTGACTGATAAGGTATGAACAAGCGACCGTTCCGCTGCGCCCCTTGCCGGCTTTGCAATGTACCACAGCGACTCGCTGCCCCTGTCCCTTTTCGTTTTCCTTGTTCTCATCTTTGTTATCGCGAAGGTGCTGAAGCCAGTTTCGCATACTGCCCATTATATTCGGGATCAGCGCGAAGGGTGGTGGGTGGTGGTCTGGCCAGGGGAAGTGGTGGATTCGATCGTAGACTTCGCTGTCTGGGTATCCTGTGCCTTCGGCGCGGAACTCCCAGATACACCAATTTTTGCCATGTTTGCTGTCGAGGAAGGTTACTAGAGCGTCTAGTGGGTTGCGGTATGCGCGCTGTGGGTATGTTGCTGAGGGGCCGGAGGTTGCGATCACTGCGTGGGTCAGCTATGGTTTTTGGGGTTGGTTGTGGGTGCGGTTGGAGAGTGTATATATACCGCTGTCGGTTACATAGCAGAGATCCAGTCCTGCTTCTGGGTGTTGGAGTCTTGGACCTGCGACTATTTGGCGGAGGATTGATGACTGGGTTGGTTAGTATTGGTGTCCCCGATGGAGTGAAGCTTGGCCTTACCATTGGGGGGTAGCTCGTAGCGAGCAATATTCAGGACTTGGACATGGAATTGTATGGGTCTTTGGAGAGCAGCTTATATGCAAAGAATGTAGAATGTTTACGGAGGCAGAGTCGCGTGAGGCGTGGCGATGATGTCACTCCGGATATCAAGATAGTTATCAAGTAACTTATCAGGTACAATCAAGTATACAAGTACCATGTAGTATAGAAAATAGTATAGATCAGTCAATTTCTTCAGGAATCATAAGTACAAGAAATATTCCAATATATCCAAATCTAAAGGCGCCCAACGCCAGACATTAAGGAGCGACATGCCGGCGTGCGCCAGACTCAAGCAAGAGTCCATTACATTAAAAACACCAGTTCCCAAGGGACTCAATTCCCTCAAACGATACATAGGGACCAAAAAGACAGAAGAGCAACTGTTTACGCAACACCATACTCCTCAGTAGGCTTCATAGTAAAGTTGAACGGCTTGTGGTCAACCACCGTCACATTCTTCGCGCCCTCCTGGTACCAAGTCGCGAGATCATGGTGCTCAGCATCGAGATAGGTAGTCCAGCGGTGGGTAACGTCAACGGTCCAGAGAGGGTTACCCGACGGCACGACAGTCGTAGTGATGTTCTTGTCGTCGCAGTAGACCTTCTTGTTCTCGGCCCCTTTGCAGTGGGTACTGAATTTGGGGGTGTAGTTGTTGCCGTTGCCGGTGATGTTGAAGTCGTAGTAGCAACCTCCGGACGAACAGCCCAGTTTGAAGTTTGACACGTTCCAGGCGATTTCTTGAGTGATTGTGTTGCTGTTGGCTAGGTTGTTGGTGGCGGGGAGGGCAGTGGCAAGGCCGAGGAAGGGGAGGAGGTTTGTGAGTTGCATTATGAATTATTGACGTAAGGATGGATATGTTCAATGATATACAGAGAGTACAATTGAGGGTGAGAGTTGACAGGAATTGGGAGAGAGGTCGGGGGTTATATAGTTGGAGTGCAGGGTTCATTTCTCCCCTTGGTCTTTGGAAACCCACTCTGCCGATCACTTACATGTAGGGGATTCCTCGTTAAGTTAACGTTATAACGTTACTCTGGAATATACGGAGTCTTAGGAACTGCTTTGAGTTCTCGATAAATTGCATCTTTGACTCTTGGTATCGGTCGCCGTTTGATCCTCCTTCCAAGGTCTTACTATCCGACTTCTGTGCCCTGATCGTCAGTGAAAGCGCGTTTCAGATGAACGGAGCCTATTTATAGCCGGGTCCACAGGGATGTGGTTCAAGGCTTCAGGATTTTACACAGCAAAGAGGCAAAAGCAAAGAAACAGGGAAGTACATGTAAACGTGCCAAGTTCGGGCAATTGGCCCAATGTGTTGTACAGAAGTTGATATATATACATACCGACCGAGGGGACTCTTTGCCCCTGGACCTCAGGAATGCAGAAGGAAGCTTGGCTGCATATTTCAGGCAACATGCCGTCGACTTGTGATTGAAACATGAGAGCTTCCCCTGTGGTTTCACTCCAGAGATCCATTTTCAGGACTTTCAGGATGGCCTTCTTCCTTATTTCGCGCAATAGCCATTAACCGGCGTTTCCTCTTGCGGCGTTCTTTGTTCCACGCGATCCGTTCGTCGTGCGACATATTCATGCGACGAACCGCTGGGTGGATAGGTTTCCCCGACTCCTCCAGTTCCTTCCATTCCTCCTTCTGTTGCTGAATCTCCTCGTCGAGCTTCTGCACGTCTTCTCTGATTGAAGGGTGATACTGCAGTCGCATTGCAAATTCATCCACTGATCCACTGCAGATCTCGAGGATTTCCTTTTGTGTTTCCTGGCTGACCTTGGCGTCCCGCTTGATCAGGTCTTGGAAGTACATGAAGCCGGAGCGGAAGTTGCCAGCGTCCAGGCACATGAGGATGATAGACTCAAAGGTAATTGCGTTCGGTACAACCCCGAGCGACGCCATCTCTTTTACTAGGAACATGCCTGATTGGCGGTTCTTCGCCGTTCGGCACATTCGAATCAGCGCGTTGTAGACTCGGACATCCGCCCCCTCGGGACATAAGGTGTAGAGCTCTTTGTAGAAGCCCACGCCATCGTCGACCACCGATGGGTCCTCATGGGCATCGTGTTCGCAGAGGTCGACGACGGCACGAACACATTCGATGGGAATGGATCGTTTTTCATTCTTCAGCCGCTTGAGCATCTGCCAGGCCTCCCGGCGATCGGTTTTATTTTCGATCATGTATGCAAGGACGGCCGCGGTCGAGGAGTCTGCAAGCGGGGTTCCGGATTCATGCATGGCGCAGAGTGCTTCAAACGCAGCTGGGAGGTCTCCAGCTGACACATGCGCCTCGACAAGATGCTCATGTTGCCCGCGACCAAGTTTAATATTGTTCTGATCGAGGTAGCGGGACACTGAGCTTGAAAGTTCCGTGTCGCCAACCTTGGATGCCACCTTAAGAACGTTATCGCAGACTTCAGCCGGTGGATGCATGTAGTCCAGTTCAACCATGCGCCGCCACACGAAGCGAACGGTAGGATGATGGAGAGCTTCGCTCGCCGTGGTCAGGACATGTGCCCAAAGAGAATTGCTCATGTCATGGCCTTGGTCGACTCGAGCGCGCATCAAGTCGAATACCTCATGGAACTCTTGATGGTCGCAAAGCGTGTAAATAATCATACCATGTAGCCAATTCTCCACAAATATATCCTTTCGCTCCATCAGCGCAGCTTGCTCAAGCGCAAGCTCGATCTGGTTCTCGCGGAGAAGACCGGCCACCACGAAATGCCACCCGGCCGGACTCAACGTAAGCCACCGGTCTCGAAGCTTGCAGAGGATTTCCTGTCGTAGTAAATAGTCCGGATGTACAGCGAGGACCTGTGAAAATTCAATGGTAAGCTTCAATTCACAATTCACGCCGTGCGAAACTGTCACCTACCTGCAATGCACCATGAAGCGTACCCGAGTCCGCTGTAATCCCGTTCTCCTCCATCTCCTCCAGTAGTCCACGCACTATCTCTGGTGATCCCCGCTCGCAGTCTGTATTGGCGAGGATCAATGCTTTATAGTGGCGAGCTGTTGGCCGGATATGACGATCCCGAATGAGCAGCCGCAGCACTTGTGTTGTGTGTCGAAGGTTCGGTTGTTTATCTGCCATGTATTGTAACAGCGCCTCTAGCGCATGATCTGGCTTGTTGAGGAGGTCATCCTGCACCTTATGGTATGTTCGGGGATGCCAACTTTTCCGTGGTCGCATGTGTTCGCGCCGGGTTTTCTGGCTGGGCCAAGTACCATCTTGCTCGGGATTCCCGTTTGAGTTCAGGTCTCGGGGTGTTTGGGAGTTATTATAGTCTGGGTATTGGGTCGGATTGGGGTTGTTGCCGAATGTGTTGCTGTAGCACCGTCTTGAAGTCGAATTCACGATGGAGATCGGGGGTAACCGCGATATCCTCAAGTCTCGGCTGTGTTTGTGAAATATTGTTGAGCGACAGGTAGTGGTAAACGATGGACACAGGGAATACCATAGTCCATCGAGAACCAGCGCTCGCCGTGACATGTTGGCTCGCATCTACTGAGTTGGACTGTTGAACTCCGCGGATTTGATCTCGACTTGATATCACGTGACATCCCACAATCCTCGTGCCGGGAATATTTGCTTGACAGTTTACAGGAAAAGAGAGCTCAAGTCCGGGTTTTTAGTTGTAACATTTCTAGGTGTAAATCGAAGTGACCCAGATCCCGTGAAAATACAGAGCCCGATACGCCACGGCCATGCTCGATAATGTTCCACCGGATCTTCCGAGCGACCTTACCACCGTCTCCTCCGGGGGTATCTCGTTTGACTTCTTCTTAAATCATGCAGGCTTGTCTCTTAGTTGCCTCGACCCCGACCGCGACCACGTCCACCACGACCACCACCGCGGCCGCGGCCACGCTCACCGTCTCTCCCGTGACCGCCGCGACGGTTTTGTGGTTGGTTCTGTTGCTGTTCCTTGACGATATCGACAATTTCCTCGGGGACTCGTAGGTATTTGATCTGGGTGACTGTCAGTATATGGAATGGCAAAATGGGGTGATTCACCACATACGTTGTTGCCTCGGATGTAGACTTCAGGTAATCTGAAGAAGCGGTCGCCTTCCGGGCTTGTCTGTACCACCTCGCGGAGAATCAGGTTCATGAAGTTGTCGCAGGTGACCAGGTGGCCGTTGAGGGTTTCGCCGTTCTTCAGCTCCACCAGCATGGGGTGGCCTTGGGCGGCCGTAAGCAGGCCGAGGGGAAGCTGTATAATATAGTGTCAGAATATATCCAGAGGGGGTTCTGAGGTACTAGAGCCTACCATCTTGGAATGCGATCGACGAAGTGGGTGAAAGTGGGAGATTTAAAGGATAGCGCACGATTTCAGAAAAGCGCGGTGTGCAGATCCACAGTCGAATATGGATTCAGTAATTGAACTAGGGCCCAGTGAAGGGCTCCGTTGGTGTATTTGGAGATGTTAAGTGTAGCAATGGATTCAATCAAGCTCCATGAGATGCGATGGAGGTGGCCGGAAAAAGAGAAGCGCCGAGCCCAATCTGGCTCAGGTTGACTGCTATCTACCGCTGTCTTTTTTATATCTCTGCGTATCCACATACTATCAGCGATTACTTCAATCAACGATTACTTCTGAGATATTTGGTTACTTTCAAGTTCATTGAGACATTAGTAGGAAATCAGATTTCTCATTTCATCATTCCAAGCCATTGGGATAATAATTAATAGTAGAACACGTAGAAAGAGCTGCTCATGGCGAGTCTAAACTTTTGGCCGCTTGGCAAGCCCAGCCCCATCCTCCTCCTCATCTTCATCGTCCATGACCGTGAGCTTACGCTTGACACGTTTGTCGCGGCTTCCAGTAGGAGCTCCAACCTCTCGCAGGTCTTCCCACTCTCCCTCGGAGCCCTCCCCATCTTCTCCCGCACCACCCTCTGACATCCGAGCCTCGAGCGCATCCAATGTGATTTCATATCCCTCTTCCACGTTTTGGACTGTAGCATCGAGTTTCTCCACCCGGTCAAGAAGCTCCAATTCGTTCAGGAGTTCTTTGTGCTTCTTATAGAGACGCTGCTTGGTGAGCATGCGCCACCAGTAGTACCGACGGTCATTTTCGTCAGTAGCCTTGTACTTTTTGATCAAAAGCCGGGCGAGGTTCGTGCCACCAGCCAGGCGGTGGCTCTTAGGAATCTGGCCCAGCAGATACATTTCCAGGATGTGTGCGAACTGGGTGGTTTCAATCTTGAACGATGTACGAATATCTTGGAGAACCTTGGTAGGGATCAGTGCGGAAGTAGGGACCACGCGCGGGCGTTTCTTTTGCGAATACGATCCATGCGGATCAGGGTTGAGGTTGACGTTGTGCTTCAGGAACTCTGGTTGCAGCAGAGTGTAATCAGCTGTGTCCCGTAGTGCGTCAAATTGTTCATTGGGGTCTTCGACGGTCAATTCCACTACGGTCGGGTCTGCGATGCAGGCGGCGTGGATTGTGGTGTATAGTTGGTTGCCGTGACCGGAGCGGCTGTGCGAAGGGAGAATGAGGAACTGCGCAATGCGAATCCGGGAGGGAAGCTCGGAGACTTTGACTTCGGGTAGTGGAAAGTCACCGTTCTTGACTGTGGGCGCCTCCGAGAGATCCCGCTGGTAACGCCAATAGCGGTATGTTGTGGCATATCCAACGATGGAGTATGACGAGGCCGTCGGTGTTGGAGGTGTCACCTTCTCATATCTGCATTATTGATTAGCCTGGGTTATAAAGCCAGCAAGCAGAAGGAATACCCACACGAAGTAGACAGTCCACCGCTCGAGCGTCCATTCTGGGTCATCAGTCTCCAGAGGGGTTCCGGCCTCAATGAAAAGAGAGACGAGGACCTGGACTCGATCCAGAAGTTTGCGCACTTCCGGGTCTGCAAGTGGTCCAGCCCAAACCTCATATTTCCTGTCTCCAATATCGTATCCAATAACAAACTCGCCCGGGGGCTTGAAGTCCTTGGCATTTGGGTCGTCCTGGACGGCTTTCTCGTAGTCTTGAAGATTGCCGAATGCCTCTGCGCAATAAAGCTTAGCTTATGTCGCTGATATGGGATAAAATTTCGGACTCACCTTCCTGAACAAAAGGCTTCAATGTATCGAGAAGGTTGAGAGCCTGTGTATCGCCGATCGGCTTGAACTTCTCATCGTAGGAAATGTGACAGTGAGGCCGCAGATCATGAGCGGCAAAGCGCAAACGGATAATTAGCCCCTTGTAGCCAAAGATCTGTTCATCATCGCCAAATATAGGATATGTGAATTGAGGGTGGAAGGTCGACAGTGTCTTGGGCTTCTTTTCGCCCGGTTGAACAACGGTGATATGGACCGCATCGTTGGCGTCGCATGACCCTGCATCGAAGATCAATTAGTACTCATTGATTGCTGGCGCATCTTGATGCGACTTACATCCAGCTTCGCTCGCCATTTTGACTGTATGGATTTGAGATGCCAAGGTCAAATTGTTGAAGAGAGAGCAAAAGCGCGCGTTACCCGCGTCAGGTCCGCCGCGTCATTAAATCACGGCCTAATCCGGACTAGCGTCTGGTTTCATACTCTTAGTATCGCCAGATTCACTGTCTAAGTTATTCATCTGAACTATTAGCTATAATTACATATACCTCTGTTGCCACCGCTCCTGGTCCATTTTCCATTACCAATGGGTCTTCTTTAGCTGTGGTATCATTTCAATGGCTCGCTGGATCCCCATGATACGCCCTATTCGCTCAAGAGTGCTAATTACCCATCCATGAACTTAATCCGGTACCCCAGCTGTACCGCCAGCGACAGACAACGGGAAAAGCAGCATGAAGATACCGTTGAGTGGTGGCACATGTGACGGGTATTCAACAACAGTGCCGCGCCGGGAGAGAGCCTCCTGGCTTGCAGCTCCGGCGCAGATGCCAATTGCCGCGCAAGAAATCGTGTCCAATGCTTGCTGTCGTTGAGAAAAGTCATCTGCCGTGGGCCACCTCATGCTCGAAATTTGGCTTAAGATTAGCTCGTTAACCAGCAGCCATCCCCAGCGAAAGTGGTTGAAAACTCTTGAAACCCATAAGTCTCTGTGGACATGATATTGACCATAAAAGGTATACTGGCGATCATCTGACTCATCTGAAATTTCGTGATGATGGACCATGTTTCTGGAAGAGCGGTCTCCCATTCTCGAAGCTCGGCCTCAAACAAATATGCTGAGGTGACCACTGTTCGTGGGTCGTGGTCTTTTTCCCGCAGAGATACATCGAACTTCATGGATCTTATCAATATGTGACAAGCTTGACAGCTGGGATAATCTCCAGTGGTGCAGATGCTATGAGTTCTGGTGACCAGTTTAACAAATCTGGGGGAATATTTCTTCTCGGCAGGAAATATTTGACGATTGATGCAAAGTAGAATTGCAATTGTGCACGATGGTCCAAAGTCGTCATTGCCCGTTTGAACGTTGATTGTCTGAGCAACGCAGAAGCACCGTCTAGATGCACTGTCCAGCGATCTATTTGGTTTGGGGAGCAACTGACCATCTGCGCGAGTTAGTGATTGGACTGGAAAAGTAATCGCATTGCGGTCATCATGCCTTACCTCGTATAAGCTCAACATCACATCATGTGAAAGGTACTGTCTGGATTTGCCTGGGAAGGGTTACCCACTGCCTTCTGGAAAGCACTGATGACCGTAGCATGTTTCTCTCTCGATAATGTTCGCAGTGCTTTATCACGATTGACATTGGACATGGCAGCAAGGCCCACCGAGATGACGGCATCTCGAGCCGACTGATCAAACTTCGTTGCCCTAAAATAATGGGAAGGCTGTAGTGCATGTGGGGAACCATCAGGTCTGGCAACTTTCGGTGTCACAAAACGATTAATAAAGAACTTCAGCCCTTGTTCCTCCACAGGGGAGGAGAGCGAGATGACAATGCGTGGAGGAGCTAGAAGCAACTGATCCGCTCTTCTACATAGTACAGTATCTGTCGGAACACGCTCGGATCGTGGGATAGGGCTTGATATATCAGACTCTAAAGCTGCCGTATCCTCCAGCTTTCGACGAGCCACTGTTTTGGCTTTCGCCTCTGCGCTCCGTCGAGCTGTTTTGTCGTTCTCATTGCGGAACATCAGAGATGGGAGGTCTTGATAGCCGCCGCAGTCTTTGTTGGCTCGCTTGCATTGCGAGCATATAGGAACCAGCCGGTCACACTAGACCACGTTAGTTTGCGATCAAGTATGAGGCTGAGCTACCAGTACCTTGATTCGTCTTTGCCGACAGCTCGAACAGCCTTTGCTTGGGTTACCATGAAAAGGCATCGCTATGCGAGCGTGTCATCTTTCAGGTCTAAATAGGAAAGGAATTCGTAGACTAGATGGCCGTGTGGGACACTTAAGCTCCGGGGGCTGAATCCACTTCATCGCCTATTGGCCAGGATGATTCGCTGATTGATGCTTGGCATGGCCTAATTGGGTAATTGCTTCATCGTTTAGTTCGCGGGACGAAAGTGGCGGGCTTTTGTGGGAACCTGGAAATTACGAAATCCGACAAGTAACTGAGTCCTGTACAGTATAACCGGACTTCGGGCACTTCAATGCCGATTTTGCTGTTTTATAAAGGTGGGACCCCTGCACTGATGTACTCACAGCACTTCAGAGTCATTTACTTCAATGTCGTTGATCAACAGGGCTACGAGGGAGAACCACTCTCATTATCATTACAATCCATCTTTGGCTGTTTCAATTGTTGCAGCCGTCCTCTATGCCATTGCGTTTATGTTGACATTGGTCCAATGGATTCAATACAAAGCCTGGGTTTGGAGCGTCATGGTGGTGGCAGCTGCAAGTATGTATATTCGGACTCTTTTACTTCTTCAGGTCTCACTTATACTAGTGGAAGCTGTTGGCTACATTGCCCGCTGTGTTTCTGTCCAGAACGTAACTGATAGATCGGTCTACGCCCTTCAACTCTGCCTTGTCATCCTCGCTCCGGTTCTCATGGCCGCATGTTGCTATATCCTGTTTAGTCGTAGTCTGATTCTTATAGTCCCCCAAGAGGCGCGCACTCTACGACTGTGTTGTGTCCCTCCCCGATGGATCACACCGATCTTTGTTGGATTTGATATCATCGCTCTGCTTCTCCAGCTTATTGGTGCCGTGATGATTTCTTCGGTCGATTCCACGGATATAGATGCACAGGACAAGCTTGATAGAGGAACGCACATTGCACAGGCTGGCGTCATTATCCAGCTAGCGGCTTTTGGCTTGTTTGCCGTGGCTGCTGTCCGCTTCAACTTTACTTCGAAACGATTTGCAAAGTCGCTCAGTGAGCGATACGAGGACCTTGGGGAGAAGGAGTATATCATTGATGGCATTGCCAAGAATAAGCATTGGCCTGCTTTGTTGCGAGTGGTTAATCTCACCACAATTCTGATTCTTGTGAGTTTTCCACTTTGATTCCTTTTCATTGCTTATTCTTATCAGGTTCGATCTGTTTATCGACTGGTGGAATTTACGGAGGGCAATACTGGCTACCTGAATACGCATGAATGGCCCTGTATGTCTTTGATGCTCTCGCCATCTATCCATGCGTCGCCCTGTTCGTTTATTGGCATCCGGCGAGATATTTACCCTACTTGGGATTCCGAGTGCCCAAGGAGGCGAATGTCAGCCGTGACTTGGAACTTCACACGCGATAAGGACCGCGGGGTAGATCGTAATTGATGCTGTTTAAGTTTTAAAATAGAGGGTCTTGTAGAATATATTTCATATAATTTTGCTAAACTTGAATGATGGCCTTCGTGATTTAACAATCCATATACTAGGGGCTGTACCCCGTAAATAGAACAAAGATCGACGAGAAAAGCAACAAGGGCCAGAGGGGCAAACCAGGGCGACCCTGTATAGTTCGTGTAGTGTTGTTACAGTCCGACAATACAATCTAGAATCAGCCTTGCAGAGCCCTATATAGGCTGGTCCCTGAATTCCTTGAACTCATACTTCCCCTGTGTTTTGATCGAAAGCGGTACCTGACGTGGGTCCCGAACTTCTGCCCTTCCGACACGTTACTCTCCACCTCACCATGATTGACGTCTAGTTTGCACATCATGGAGGGACTATTCACTCTGCTCGCTTTGAGCATTGTGATGGCAATAACGTGAGGAACTTGGCTATATATTCAAAGCAACAGCTAACAGTTCTTGATTGGCAGATCCTTTGTCGTTGGCTCATTACCTCTCGCTTTTACACTCTCCCCATCCCAACTACGATTAATATCTTCCATTGGCATGGGAGTTTTGGTGGGGACTTCTTTGATCGTGATTATCCCGGAGGGTATCGAGACCCTTTACAGCGCCAACTCCCTCAATCCCAAGGAACTCAATACCCGGGCGACAGCTGTCCAATGGCACCAGGCACCCGCTGTGACAACCGCCTTTGGTTCAAATGAAGCCAGCGCCAACATTCCATCTGATACTGTTGTCCCAGGCCTGCCCTTGGAAAGAGAAGAGACAGTGCCCATCATTCGCATCGACGAAACCGACTCGCAGCGGCTGCGTGCCCGGAAGGAGGAATCGTCGGGCGACAAATCAAGCAAAGGATCAAGCGACGAAAATGAGGAGAGCTCACCCCATGCGTGGATTGGAATCGCCCTCATCAGCGGATTCATCCTGATGTACCTCGTCGACAAACTACCCGAATTCGCAGCGCCTACCAAGACCGACCGGACCCCATACCATATCTCCCTGGATAACCTTGGATCGGGACTGCGACGGGGCTCCTCACCCTCTCGCGAGGGAGGTCTGCTGGATGCAAACCACGCCAGACGTGGCCACAGCTTCGCGACCACTACCGGCCTGGTGATCCATGCTGCGGCGGACGGAATTGCCTTGGGCGCATCTAGCTCCGATACCGGGCTGAGCTTCATTATCTTCTTGGCGATCATGGTACACAAGGCACCCGCGTCCTTCGGTCTGACCTCTGTCCTGCTCAAGCAGGGCCTGTCAAGCCGTACAGCCAGAGCGCATCTACTGGTCTTCAGTCTTGCTGCTCCGCTCGGCGCTTTGGCCACTTTCCTCTTTGTACAGATGATGGGATCTTCCACCGCCGATGAGGCAGGCACTCACTGGCGCACTGGAATGCTTCTGCTTTTCTCCGGAGGCACTTTCTTGTAAGTTTTCCGAGATGACTTACTTGGTTTTTTACTGATCCTCGTAGGTACGTTGCTATGCACACCATGCAAGAAAATGGCCCGGGCTCATCGCCACGCGAACTGCCCGTCAACGGATACGGTGACCGGGATCAGAGTGGATCGGATAAGTCGATGAGAGACTTGATTGCTTCTGTTTTGGGCATGATCCTGCCTCTGTTCTTGCAGATCGGACATGCCCACTAAACAGGTACACAGTTCTAAAGATGTGTCATGCTGCTTTTACGTTTTCGCTGAAAAGATCACATCTTGGGAGCATATACCCTATTTGTTTAACATTTACTGACGGTGACGGGGTCTAGCTGGGAGATTGGATAGAAGAGAATAGGCTGTTATATTAGACTTGTACAACTGGCAAATGGAATGTCGGTCATAATTGCATGGTATCTCACGATCACATCTACGTAGCGTTATGCCACAGGCCGTAGGTATTTAAGACCTGACTATCCCCTAGATTCGGCACTCTTTAAATCATGTCATCCGTGGGGTGATGACAAGATTCGTCAAGGCTCGTCAGTCTGAATCATCGGCACCCCGGCCAAGTCCCATGGGCCCAGACAGAGCCGCGTGCGTATCCAAGGACTTGGAAGTATAGCAAGTTGCCTGTTCACGATAATCCGCCATAGTTTACCGAGGATTGGCCGGGGAAAAGCGCTTCGGACTCCCCGACTCGGACTATCGCAGGCTACGGCTCGTTGCCTCTTTGCCAGTACCGAATTTCATTGTCTTTGAAGGCAAAAGGCAAAAGGCAAAATACATGTATATTTTCTAAAGGGAAGGGGTCGATCCCTGCCCGATGCATAGACCCCCATCTCGACTCCGGAGAAGAGCTTGGCGGCTTTGTCAGAGGACCCGGGCACGACATCGTCTCCGCTTGGATTCCTTTCTTCCCTCTTGAGTCGCATCTTGATATTCATTCACTCGCATATATACCCCGGGGGATTACTCGTCTTACCTCCTTGCCATCCTCCGGCCAGCCTCTCTCACACCCGACCACCAACTCCCGAATTCCTCTATGCCTGACGTGGACGCTACAAGGCTGAGTGTCTGGCACTATCGATAACTGCGAATCGGAACCTTGGAAGAAGTCGCTTATAATAACTCTGGGGCTGTTCCTCTGTTATACCTGCCATGGACTCCCATCGGGCATCATTCAGCGACTTAGGGGAAGGGAATGCGCACACAGCGGAGCAGTTGGGCCCTCATTCTCAGCCGTCCCGCGACACGGTCACCAGCTTCACAAGCACTCCCTCCAGATCTCTCAGTACCAAGAAAACCATCACCCCGTTACCTGCAAATCTACTCCCCTCGGCACCCGCATCACCCCCGACTCCTGCGCCGAGCCCGACGCCACATCAACGACCCCCGAACTGGCACTCGACCGATGATGAAGAGAGCAATTTCCTCTTGAACCTCCGCATACAATTCAGCACTTTATCAAATGCCCGGAAGCAGAAACTTCTGGAAGGCCTTTTAGATGTATGCGACAGCCAACAGCTGAGTTTCGTGTCGAGTTACGTTGGTCCTCGATTAAGAAAAGACCCATTCCAAGTCTTTCCTAACGAGCTATGCTTGAGGGTATGCTACGTGATTTATTTTGCCGTTACTCTGATCTAGCGTTAACTTGTTTCTCCCAAGGTCCTCTCCTTTATCGACGATCCCAAAACCCTCGCCAGAGCCTCTCAAGTATCCCGACGCTGGCGAGAACTATTAAATGATGACATCACATGGAAGAACCTATGCGAAAAGCATGCATATTCAGTGCGGCGAGTGCTGGAAGATGAAGGGGATTTGGTTGACCCCTTCACCGCTCATCCCGTGGACTCGACATCCGGCGCACGAACCTTCAGCGGCTTACAGCGGCGCTTAACCGCGTCAAACGGCCAGTCCACCGAGAGCGAACCGGACCTTCCCCGCACTTTGTCGGGTGAATGGTTGCCACCGACCAGCTTCCCGTCACGAAGACGTCGCACCCGTCCTGTCTCCTATCGTTCGCAGTTCAAGCAGAAATACATGGTTGAATCAGCGTGGAATAAGGGTGGTCGCTGTACCCAGCGACATATCACTCCTGACCAAGGCGTCGTTACTAGTCTGCATCTTACGCCGAAGTATATCGTCGTTGCTTTGGATAATGCGAAGATTCATGTCTATGATACCAACGGTGACAACCAGAAGACGCTTCAGGGCCATGTGATGGGTGTATGGGCGATGGTCCCATGGGACGACATTTTGGTCAGCGGAGGCTGCGATCGTGAAGTCAGAGTATGGAATATGGCTACTGGGTAAGGCAGACACCGACCTCCAAAAATGAAAAGTGGTGCTAACGCCAGGCAGAGCGGGGATTCATCTACTTCGGGGTCACACATCAACTGTCCGCTGTCTGAAGATGTCCGATAAGAACACCGCCATCTCAGGATCAAGAGATACAACTCTCCGCATTTGGGACTTGTCCACGGGGACCTGTCGGCAAGTACTTGTCGGACACCAAGCAAGCGTGCGCTGTCTTGCGATCCATGGCGACCTCGTTGTATCAGGTAGCTACGATACGACCGCTCGGATATGGAGTATCTCTCAAGGACGCTGTCTCCGGACACTGTCGGGCCATTTCAGTCAGATCTACGCGATTGCCTTTGACGGGCGTCGGATCGCGACGGGAAGTCTGGATACTAGCGTTCGGATTTGGGATCCTCATTCTGGTCAATGTCATGCCATTCTGCAGGGTCATACGTCTTTGGTCGGACAATTACAGATGCGCGATGATACGCTGGTGACGGGTGGTTCTGATGGCTCTGTCCGTGTCTGGTCCTTGACTAAGATGGCTCCCATCCACCGACTTGCGGCGCATGATAACAGTGTGACTAGTCTTCAGTTTGATAAGACCCGTATTGTCAGCGGTGGCAGCGATGGTCGTGTCAAGGTTTGGAATCTCCAGACTGGTCAGCTGCTCCGCGAGCTTTCTACTCCGGCTGAGGCTGTATGGAGGGTTGCCTTTGAAGACGAGAAAGCTGTCATAATGGCTAGTCGATCTGGCCGTACGGTTATGGAAGTGAGTCCTAATTTTCGGGATCTCCCAGACATATTACGGTTGCTAATCATCACAGGTCTGGTCCTTCTCTCCTCCATTGGAAGACTATGATGACACCGCTATTGAAAGTTCCTCGAGCACACCGGGTATCAGCTCCGTAGACGACAACGAGCTGGCCGTCCCACCACGACATCGGACTCTCTTCTCCGATCCTCCACCATCGAT